TCCTTATGCCATCAGAGAGTTGTGACGTTTCCTTGAAGCGAGGTAACAGAAGGTGTTAATTCCCAGGTTTAATATACTGATACTTAATGGAGACTCAAAAATTTCCAATCAAGGTTAATTGATCATCTGGCTACCAATAAAAAAAATAATCATAATTACATAGCTATGTGGTAACAAAAAATGTGATTCGTAAAGCCCTGAAAGTTAAAAATAAAAAAGCAAGGCCTTGGAAACAGGAGAAGGAAAGGAATTGTAATAATTCTTAACATAATTCACATCTGATTTGTGCCTAAACTTCCCATAAGTCGATGGGATGAATTAGGATACGGTTACTTAATAATAAAACTTTTCTTTCTTTTGGTGGTTAAAACTTGTAATGAGTGAGGAGGGGTGGGAGATGAGGGGCAATGGGCATGACTGACTTAGTGCCCCGAGTCTAGTGTGTGTTGTGGCGGTAGTGATTGTATTACCTTGTAAGAAGAGACTTTACAGCAGGACAGAAAGCCTCAAGGGTATGGGGACATCTTACTAACTATGAACTCTTACAGTGACTACCAGACAGTACCTTGTAGTAGAAGGAATTCCAAGTCTGCGAAATTATATAAAGGAAGGATTTGAAGGGATTTTGTACATGCTTTGCGTCCATAGTCATCTTTGCATAATATGAAGCACTATCACACTGGATTCAGATGATAAAACTGCCTTTGCTGATCATCCAAGAGTTATAAAGGACTTTCCATCTGCATCAACTGAACTTGTTAATTGCACGCTGTTGTGCTTCATAGTATAACTAAATAAATATCTCTACTGTGAATGACCCGGGTAGATCTAGGAAGTAACACTTTTACATTTACTCGGATGCCCAACACTTTGATTCTCACTCTCCTACTGCAGAGGCTGCTTAGCAAAGGCCATGTTATCTAGAAATGTACATCATCTAATTATGTAAACATCTTAGGTATAGCTCATCACATGGTTCCCTGGAAGTTAAGATCACAAGAGTATAGGTACATATCACACTCTCACTGGAATTCACCTTGTCATTTTTATGCACTTTGACACACGGCTTATGGCTGCTTTGTCTGGGAAATATATTTCTCTGTCTATACAGAATACCATCTGTAATTATACAACCTGTTCTAACTTAATGCACTTTTACTTCACTTTTGAAGGTCCTTAATATAGTACATTGTACAGTTCTTGGTCTTTCAGTTTTACATGATAACATTCACCAGGAAAACTCAAATTATGAAACAATAATATATTTATATCAGTGACTTAAGATAATCACATACCTTGACAGTATACTTTGCTGCTGCTTTACAACAACTATGTATATCATAAACACAACAGATGTCAAGGAAAATATCTTGAAACAACTCAAAGCTGCATAATGATAATAATAATAATAATAATCTAAGACATTCTACAAAGGATATTCGTAATCTTAACCCAATGCAAGACAGGACCCCTACCTTGGATTAAAAAAACGGAGGGAGGGTCAGCCATCTGTTCGGACAAAAAACTGGAACTGTACTCTTATAGTCACCATAAAGACACTGCTTCTCATTTTTGAAGTTTAAACATACAGAACACTTTAGTCAACTGGTCTGCCATAGCACACCAATGGCTCTGTTTACCTCTAATCTATTGGGCATTTATTCTTTTTTTTTTTTTCAAGACATGGATTCAGGTAAAGTAGTTTTATCACATATTCAAATCTCTCAGCTACATACATCTTTACATATATATATCATTCATATCATTCAGCAAAACAATGCTAATACTGCACCATATATATATTTTTTCTTCTCTTCTTCTTCCTTTTAATATTCATTGTTTGTTTTTTGTTGGGCACCTCATCAAACAAGACAATCCTAGTTGCTTGCATCTTCATATATATATATATATCATATTTTTACCAAATCCTTTTTTTCTCCATCGCATATTTCTCTATCTGCGTTTGGTGCATGAAGGTTGACATGAGCAAAGTTCTGCCACAGGTATTCCAAAGCCTCCGATGTCCGTACTCTTCACTCCCTGGACAGTCGCCTCCACGATCGGCGTCGGCTGGAGCCCGGCCGCGTTGCCTGGCTGTGCTACGGTTGCACTCAGGCCTCCGAGTCCCCTCTTGGTGCGACCTTCTGCACCATGCAGGAGCGTGCCACCGACTCAAATAGCCTGTAAGAAGGTAGTGGGCCACCTGTTAGAGGTGTTGCTGTCAGAGTAAAAGAGGTGATGTGGATCAAACCACTGTCTCTTATGAATAAATAAATACCACTGGACTGATTTTTTCTTTTGCGGGAGATGGAAGATTTATAAACACAAAAGCAAACCCAAAGAAAAGATGTTCAAATAAAATCAACCTTAAGAAGAAATCACAACAGCACCAGGAGCAATCCATCCAAGCACACATTTCTTGTAATCAGCACCATACAATTTTAACAAATAATTTTGTTTCAAACAATTACTCTCGGGGTAAATGAACAACAAGAAGTATCCTTAATTCTTGCATCTACATACACTCTATAAAGAATACAACACTGGACACTAAACTCTTAAGCAAAAATCTGGGTGCCAATACACAAGATCTCTTCCACATGACCACATTTATTGATTCCAACATGCATAAAAACGACAGAGACAGCAATTTTAATGAGGTTCCTTTTCAATACTTACTTCTCGATCTCCGGAGCACACTTCACAAACTCGTGGCTCCAGAACTTGAAGGATGGGTTCTTGATGAGCTCGATGAAGGTGATGAGAAGCCCCCATGGGTGTGGACGATTGACGATCAGTCGCTCCAGCAGCACCCTCGTGATCTGCTCTTGGATGGCTTCAGTGTTAGCTTCGGCAAAAAGATGGAGAAGTGTGCAACTGAAGTAGTGGGTGTGGCTGTTGGGGTACCGCAGCTGGTTGGCAATGGCATTCAGGAACAAGTAGCGACCTGGTGTCGGGGGGGAAAGGGGATTATCATCAAATTCCCTATTAAACAAAACTACAATAACCTTCATGAAAAACACCTCCAAGGAGAAAAAGGTATTCCAAGTAATGGACAAAGGCAGTACACAAATGCAGAAAACTAACCTTCTGTGTCTAAATCAACACCAAGATTCTGGAATATGTCCATGTGGGCGGAATGAGCAATGGTAGACATGGATGGAGTTAGGCCTTTGCTATGGATCTGAGCAATAGCCTGCATGCCAACATACAGCACCAAAGCGTTCATCACAGACATGTTGTAGCGCATCCCTGGTTCATTGTTGACCTGCGTGGATGGGTATATTGAGAAATGCTATATTATAATTATAATTATAATTATAATAATAACAATAATAATAATAATAATAATAAAAATAAGTCTACTTCCTTATCTATCTACACTTTTTTGTCCTAAGACTCTCTGAGGAGACGGACATACAAAACGACCACCACCACCACTCACCTGCAAGAAAGTCCGCATGTCTGAGAGGAAGGTGACAGGCGTCCTGTTCTTCAAGTAGGAGTCCAAGTTCTTCTTTAGTTCTGGGGGCTGGATGAGGCTAGCAACATTGGTGGGGATCTTGGGAGAGACGGTGATCTCGGGCAACATGTCCACTTTCAGATTGGGGGTGAAGGGGTCGGGGAGCCTCATGTTCCGAGGGAAAGCCGAGAGGATGAGATTGCGCATTTGGATGCAGTTTGGAGGGATGACATCACAGAAACCATAGTGGTATTCACATAAGAACTCCGGAAAATCATGGAGCAGGACTAGCAGCACACGTAGTGTACCCTGAGAAAAGACAAAATTTTTTTGAGATTTAGAAATCTGCTACTTCTTCATATACAGGTTTATAATATAACTTGAGGAGGAGGAGGACAAAAAGGAAAAGACACAAAAGAAAGGGGGGGAGAGAGGGGGGGGAGAGAGGGGGAGAGAGAGGGGGGGGAGGAGAGGAAGGAGGGAGGGAGGGAGGGAGGGAGGGAGGGAGGGGGGGGGAGAGAGGGAGGGGGGGAGAGAGGGAGGGAGGAGGGGGAGGGAGGGAGGGAGGAGGGGGGGAGAGAGGGAGGGAGGGAGGAGGGGGGGGGAGAGAGAGGGGGAGAGAGAGGGGGAGAGAGAGAGAGAGAGAGAGAGAGAGAGAGAGAGAGAGAGAGAGAGAGAGAGAGAGAGAGAGAGAGAGAGAGAATGAAAAACAGAAAAGGTAGAGAAATCCAATGAAGAGTAATTGATGGATAACCACAACAGAGAAGAAGAAAAAAGAAGAAGAAGAAGAAAAAAAAAAGCGCAGCACCCTCGTGATCTGCTCTTGGATGGCTTCAGTGTTAGCTTCGGCAAAAAGATGGAGAAGTGTGCAACTGAAGTAGTGGGTGTGGCTGTTGGGGTACCGCAGCTGGTTGGCAATGGCATTCAGGAACAAGTAGCGACCTGGTGTCGGGGGGAAAGGGGATTATCATCAAATTCCCTATTAAACAAAACTACAATAACCTTCATGAAAAACACCTCCAAGGAGAAAAAGGTATTCCAAGTAATGGACAAAGGCAGTACACAAATGCAGAAAACTAACCTTCTGTGTCTAAATCAACACCAAGATTCTGGAATATGTCCATGTGGGCGGAATGAGCAATGGTAGACATGGATGGAGTTAGGCCTTTGCTATGGATCTGAGCAATAGCCTGCATGCCAACATACAGCACCAAAGCGTTCATCACAGACATGTTGTAGCGCATCCCTGGTTCATTGTTGACCTGCGTGGATGGGTATATTGAGAAATGCTATATTATAATTATAATTATAATTATAATTATAATTATAATTATAATTATAATTATAATTATAATTATAATTATAATTATAATTATAATTATAATTATAATTATAATTATAATTATAATTATAATTATAATTATAATTATAATTATAATTATAATTATAATTATAATTATAATTATAATTATAATTATAATTATAATTATAATTATAATTATAATTATAATTATAATTATAATTATAATTATAATTATAATTATAATTATAATAATAACAATAATAATAATAATAATAATAATAAAAATAAGTCTACTTCCTTATCTATCTACACTTTTTTGTCCTAAGACTCTCTGAGGAGACGGACATACAAAACGACCACCACCACCACTCACCTGCAAGAAAGTCCGCATGTCTGAGAGGAAGGTGACAGGCGTCCTGTTCTTCAAGTAGGAGTCCAAGTTCTTCTTTAGTTCTGGGGGCTGGATGAGGCTAGCAACATTGGTGGGGATCTTGGGAGAGACGGTGATCTCGGGCAACATGTCCACTTTCAGATTGGGGGTGAAGGGGTCGGGGAGCCTCATGTTCCGAGGGAAAGCCGAGAGGATGAGATTGCGCATTTGGATGCAGTTTGGAGGGATGACATCACAGAAACCATAGTGGTATTCACATAAGAACTCCGGAAAATCATGGAGCAGGACTAGCAGCACACGTAGTGTACCCTGAGAAAAGACAAAATTTTTTTGAGATTTAGAAATCTGCTACTTCTTCATATACAGGTTTATAATATAACTTGAGGAGGAGGAGGACAAAAAGGAAAAGACACAAAAGAAAGGGGGGGAGAGAGGGGGAGAGAGAGAGAGAGAATGAATAAAAATAAAATAAAAGATATCAAGTAAGTGCATTTACAGAATTTCTTTAGCAAAGATGGATGGGTTAATTATTCTAGAGTGACAAGACATACAAGTGTGTTAAACAAAAGGCATGTGAGAGACTACCAAATAAAGAAATTCAATTTGAAAAACTTACAGTTATGGATGACAACTTTAAAAAACCCAGCCACAACAACCACACATGAGAGTTAAGTATTGAGCTCAAAGAATTAAAGCCTCAAAATGATGAGCAAATGTTTACCCAGGATACCTAGCTCTTGTCTCTCAATAAGAAAAAAAGATTTTGTAATGCTAATCTTATTTACAACACACAGAAAGGCAATCTGTTTCTTTTCCTCTTTTCCTCTTTTATTTTGTGATTTTCTGAATTTTTTCTCTCATCTTGTATATCTTATTTCTATTTTTTTTAAGAGAGAATAGAATGATTTCCAAGGAACTATATACTTTAGCTAAAGCTCAAGTTTCACTACTCAGGCTCATCTTTGCTCCCAAAGTCACTTCCAGCCACCCAGCCTTCCACATCGGTTGTATTATAATTCTATTTCACGGGTCAAAATAAGGGAAAGAAAAAAAAAAAAGGCAGAAGTATTTAAAATAATTCACGGCCATTTTAAAATTTCACTGCTTTCTCTATGCACAGATTAACTTTGGCCTTATAAGACCATCTGCTTCTCTATTTACTGTCTCAAATCAAAGAAATCAATATTAAATAATCAACATAACATTTAAATTTTTGTATCTATATAGCTGCAAAATTTTACTGAACAATACCAAAGATAATCACAGAGAAACTTTATTCATAACCCTCTACTCAAGGAAAAAGAGCATGTTTAGGCAAATCAAGATTCTATGGCTGGTTTCCCTAGTTCCCCAAATAGTTCACCTGGTTCTGGCCATAGGGCTAATAAAACCCTGACTGAGTCCAAGTAATGAGTTAGATAAGGCTTAATTTCTACCACGAAGCTAGGTTATTTTGCTATGTGTTAATACTAGTAAAGCAAGGATAGCTATATCACGTGAAGTGACTCCTCTGTGTTTCAAGCTTCATAAAAACAAGTAAGGCACACAATCTGTCACTTCTCCAGACTCTGGAAGAGTGTATTCCAGACTCGGAATCTGAAACAGAAGATGCTGGCAGTAAAGAAAAATAAAGGAGAGACCTTTTGCACCCAAAAAAGGGCGCACATCTTCCAGAATTCTGAATCCGGACAAGAAATAAATGGGATTCTCATGAACAGCCTGCATGGGGAAATGCATGGCATGATAAAATATGAGCTCCATTTATGAGAGCCTTCAAGAAATCTCAACATGGGCACATCTCAACATAAGGACAACCATTTGCATAGAATACAGATGAAGCAACTGTTAACAAATGCAGATTTTGTTTCAAATACACACACAAAACTGTAAGATCAGACTGTGTTTATGCATATGCTGCTTAATGCTGCTGCATTAATGTTAGGTCTGTACAGTCATTGGTGATGCTACTGTCTCTACAATCTTTGTCTATGAAAGGGTTGAAAATCTACTATACAAAAACTATGAACAAGGGAAAAAAATGAGAAAAAATATCCTTTCTGAATTAAATATTCACATCACATGCTTTTCAAGGATAAAAATGAAGACATGGAAACACTTCTGACAGGGAAATACAGACATAAGCTAGCATTATCAATCTGAAAGTAATGATTATTAATGAAGCATTGCAATAGTTCCTATCTGAACTAATCCTATTTTGAACAGCAAGAACAATGCTAACAAAACTGAAGTTTATATCACATGAAAATTTAAAACAATTTAGAGAGAAATGAAACCATCAAGTACCTATGACACAAAATGATTTCACATCTATTAAGGAAAGATAGTAAATATCTCAAATACTACTACAGCTATATCAAAATATGATTTTTTGCAAGAATTTTTTTTTCTCTCTCTCTCTCAAAATCAGAAAAAGCATGGGGGTAAGAAACTGCTAGCCATGTTCGCGCACTGAATACACTCTACGCATTTGGAGGTGAGACAGGGAACGACCAAGTTTTCACAAGACAAATATGATAAGTATTTGGGATCTGAACACATGAAGGCACATCCGTTGACCTTGTCTTCCTAAGGACTCAATCTTCCTCATTGATGATGACCAATCCTTTAATTACCTTCAGCTGCTGAATCTCATATTTTTTTATCTGATCTTTTTAAAAATCTCTGCACACCTTTTTTTAAAGTGAAGATACCCTATAGATACTTTCCTTACTTTTTCTCCACTGAAAAGGTATATTTAACAAGAAGACAATAAATAGATAAACAAAAATATAAACACAAGTAGTATAGTTATAAAATCTGTAAGAATATGATTCTAAAAAAAAATCAACTATCCCTTTTTTATATAACAAGGAAAATAATGAAAACAATATGACTTTAACTGCCAAGAAAAAAGAACTACAGTTTGAGACAACAACTTTTAAAATGCAAATGGCTTAACTCAATGGATACAAATCTTCCTGGGAGTGTTCACTTTGGAGGATATGGCCGCTGCTATTTAAAGGTCAAAACAACTAAGGAAAAAAAATGGAGACAACATTACAGATGACAAACAAGGGATGAGCCCTATATCCTAATGAAGTCTTGTGCATGGGACCGTCAACCCACCTCCAAATAAAGCATACCAGTGGATGAACATGTGCTAGCATTGTTCCCTGAGAGTGTAGCTTACTTCACATACCGGAAGGTTGATGGACTCTAGGATCGCTTCAGGGGCGTTGAGCTCAAGGAAAAGCATGATGAGAATGCGGTGATATGGAAGCTGCTGGAACTCGGTGCCGTTTGACTCAATGTCATGGATCATGATGCCACACACAAGTCCTAAGACCTGTAATTTCAAATAAAAAAGAATAATTCTAGTTCTGTTAACATGTCTTGGTAGTATTAAAAAAAAAAAGCTGAATGAATTTTACAAAAACAATAACAAGGCAGAAATTGACAGCTAAATAATCCAATTAATAATGAAGCAAGGCATGCATTTACTTCTACTCAAATCAATTTTTACTTGTCTTACCTTATTTAGAAGATTGATCTTTGTGGTTGGGTTTGTTGCCTCCCCCGAGTGTTTGACTAATAAGGCAATAAGACGTACAAAGGCGTCCAGATTCTGGAAGCATTTGCTGCGAACGTAGGTAGGAGATGGTCCTTGGCCTTGCTCAAGAATCGATCGAACACAAAGGTCACGACACATGCTTATGCAGATCCTAAAGAACCTGAAATGCACATAAAATAAATGAGCACATCATATATGTACTCTTATAAAGATTCCCATTAATATTATTCCAAAAGGGGGACTTCAAATAGTAAGTCTACTATTCACTCCGCACCTGGTTATGAGATCATCTGTTTTGAGGATTCCGTGAAGATTCATCTGCTTCACGAAGTGCTGGAAGGCAGAGGCCGACCCCTGGCCAGCTGTTGGGGAATGGTACATCTGAATCCACTCCCGCAGCAACACCTCTGTCTTCTCCTGCAAGGCTGGGGGATCACTGAAGTCCCTTGCCTGCGTCACACCCGAATGGAAGTGGAGACTTGGCCCAGCGGTCAGGGCACTATTTGTGCCGCTGAGGCTGCTGCCCCCTGCAAGCCGCTCGCTCGCCAGTAAATCATGCTTCAGCCGCAGTGCATCAATGAGGGGCACAAGGCCTTCTGGGGCCTGCCGGGAGTGGCACATGCGAACTAGGGCTTCCAGTGTTAGCTGCAAGTCTGACTCACTCAGGAAGCTGTTGCTGGGGTCGTCAACGAGGTAAATCTGTGGGAAAATACGTTCATTGATGAATACAATTATCATACCTATTTACTTAGACACAAAAACTAATTAGGGAGGTGGAGGAAACAGAGGGAGGTACATACATTCACTTTCAATGTATTCAACCTACCTGAACAAGCTGCATGATGAAAAAGGAAGGGATGTAGGATGGAAGCCTTGGATCATCTAGAGTTCTAGCAAGGTGTTCGTCCAGCAACTGCATGTTCAGCAAATTGGAACGGATCAGCCAGTCGACAACATCCAAGTTGTACTTCAATTCTTCGCGCGATTCAGCCCAGCATCTGCAAGCGAGATTGTAAATGTTTTTATTATGCTTACAAGGATGGCTTTGCCTACTATACATAATACAGATGAGTAAGTTCAATCAAATTAATAATAAAAACAAATGAGGAGGTAGGATATTCCATGGCCTTCAGGAAAAATGAATCTGAGGGGCAATTATAAACACTCATTTTATAGAGCTTAAACATGTACTAGGATTCTAGTCTCAGGAGGGGAAAGAAGATAATGAAGTCAAAGGAGGAAGGAAAAGTCCTAGCCTGGGGGAAGAGGGCAGGAGGAAAGGAGACCAAGATAAAATAAATAGACTGAGAGAGAGGGAGGTAGAGTTTAAGGTATAAACCAACAGAGTAAAATCTTGAGTAAAAACCAACAGCTATGCCACTCACTTGGTAACATTCTTCGATGTCCAGTTGGTTCCATAGGAACGATGATCAGCCATGGCCTTCAAAACAATAAGGTGGCAGTCACGGAACCGAAGGGCAAGCTGGCTCAGTTCTGGTTCGGTGGGCAGCTCTCGTGCGCCCTCCAGGAGGTTCTCCACAGCCTAATTCATTAATAAAGAAGGGAATGAATAACAGCTAATAACTGTTTTGTTTCTATGATTCTGCTGTTGGCCTTTAAATCTAATCCAATTCATGGAAATCTTCCAATATATACTTGTTTCATATTCTTTTAATTTATGAAATTTAAGTAACAAAAAAATTAATATAGTGAATAAAAAAAAAAATTGACAAAGGGCTGCCTCCTAACCTTCCTGAGCAACAGCTGAGCAGTGTGCGCATCTCTGTTGGTGCGGGTGAGCAGAAGTCCTTCCCTGAGCGAGTGCAGCATCGGGATGAGGGAGGATGAGGGGGCCAGAGTAGTGAAGGCCTGGATGGTGTGTTCCAGCTCAGCACTGATGCGCTCCGTCAGAAGCAGGAATGCGGTTGTCTCATCACTTCCAAAGGCCTGCTGTTGTGAGTGAGGGGGTTGCTGCTGCTGTTGTTGCTGCAATAATTTGAAATAAATTCTTAAATCATAATAATCATAACAAACATATAAATATATATTATAAATAAAACAGATATTAATATGATGGTAAAAAAACATATCTGTATAAAGACAAATATGAAAGAAAAACTCACCGAGCTAATAGGAACAGGCTTGGTCAAGAACATGGTGTCCTGATCAGTGATGGGCAGGAAGCCAGGGATGTTGCGGGCAAACTCCTCATACACAGCCATCTGAGGTTGGGTGACACCACCCACTTTCAGGCGGATGGGTTCCGGCATCCGCTCTGCCTGGTATGTCAAAGCCACTGCATCGCAATAGCGGCGGCCTTCTGTCCTTGCGGCTTTCCTCACTTCATATTCCTGCAGGAAAGAGTTGTGGTAAGAGGTAAGTAAGGTTTGTATCTTCCTTGTTTCTATCTCTGATTTAAAAAAATAAATAAATAAAAGATGATTAACTTACTTAGCAAAACTGTCAAAGATCTTTATCTCCTCCATTAAACTACACCTAGATGTAACACAAGCATCTATATACACACACATATAAATAGAACAATTGAGAAAATGGCAAAGATGATGTGCCTCACCTGTGCCAGCCTCTTATCCATCTCAATCACAGCCTTCTCTGCAGCAGTTTTCTGAATAAAGGCACAAGCTATACCAACATTCTCTTGAGCAATGGCTGCAGCCAGCTGCTCCATCTGCTCTAGCTGTTGTGGCAGCTGCTGCTGATTTGTCTGAAAAATAAAAATTAACATAAAACAACATAAAACATTAGTATGCTAAAAGGGCTAATGTAGTAAAGATATGAAGCAGTGTTAGCAAGACATGGCTATTTTAATTAGTCTGTATTAACCCATTACTGTTGGCACTGGCATGTACGTAAATACTATGTCCACTGTGATTTTAGTTAAGTTATTATGATTACACACAAATGACTCTACACATCTTCAATTACTAGTCCTATCTATCTTATCTGTTTACCCTTTCCATTTATTATTGACAATATTCTTTTTCATTTTGTTTTGCTATTGGTATTGTTAAAAACATAATAATTATACTGTCAATGATAATGAAGGCAGAGAATGTAGGCCTACTAACAAGTAAAAGATCCATATAGGTGAAAAGACAATGCAGAAAACAAAACTAAAGCGATAGTCCATGTTACTGGTGGAAATAGTTAACATTCACAAAAAAAAGAAGGGGGGAAAAATGTATACTTGTATGAATAAAACACCTGTAATCTCATACTTATCACTAAATATCTGATGTAATAGGGCATTTCAACTCTCCAATGCCTCTTCAAAACCATGTAACAGCAGAAAGTTTATTTACTATGGTAACAAACTTACTCGTGAAAAAGCCTGCATCAATCCCTGCTTGATGCTCTTGGCAATATTTGTAGCCAGATAATCTCTGCATGTTATCATTGCCATTGCTGCTGTCAAGTTGCGAACCATGTGATGAGTTGCAACTCGCATCCGAGACTCATCCGGGTCCAGAGCAAAGTCTTTCTTGATTATGTGCTCTGCTGTGGTGATAGCAATCTTGATGCTGCGCTCCAATACTGCTGTCACAATCTCCTGGACTGCCATTTCTACAGCATGTCGCACAAGCTGTTTTAATTGAGCATTGGTTGCAATGCCACCAACCTGTTCCAAGAAAAAGTTTTCACTTTATTTATCAAGCTCTTGGGCAAGCCAAAACTGTCTTGTATATTTTTTAATGCATACATACTGATAAGTAAAAGAACTTAACCTGATAATGAAATAAATCTTACATATCTTAAGTGTATGACTGAATATGCAAAATAAATACAGATAATCCAACCAACCTGAGGTACTGAGACAGATATGTGAGGCTCAAGCCCCCGAAGGGATGTGACGGTGATATCAGAGTAGATAAACCGTGGCTCATTGACCGAAGGTTGTTGAGGCTGGATAGGTGTTGGGGTAGAGGAGGGATGAGGTGGCAACACTGATGGAGGGGTTGGCGTGGCGCCCACAGACGAGCTCTGTACGGTGACTGTGCTGGTGGGCATCTCCACCTGCCCTGTTGGACCCATTTGTGACCAACTTGTCTTTGCTGAAAGACAAAGCAAGGGGAATTTTATAGAAAGAACTAGGAAGTACATTTTGGTAACCTTGAGATGGTAGGGGGGAGGGGGAATACTAATATAACCCATTACTACCGGGCCACGCCTATAGCCATCATGACAAACCACTTGACCTGCCGGGTATGGCTATACACGTGGCGACATGCTAGAGCGCGTCGAGTGGGAAGTTCCACTATGTGTAGCAGACTCCCGCTCCCAACGGGAGAACAATTGCCAGAAATCACAGGAGTCTATGACACTGAGAGATTTCTAATACTGTCATCTAAGGGAGTCAAGGAAATTTTCCCCAAATCCATAAAACTGCCTTGTTTAGTTTGTTTTCTCTACTCCTACATCATATAATTCCTGAAGCCTTAATATATGTGTAAGTCACAGCTCATTAACCTTACTTACTATTTTACCACTTACTGTATAACCATACATTACGTGAGCTATCATCAGGCCATCCTATAAATTTTACTTCCATCTGAATTACCTTCATGTCCACTCTTATCCCAGCTCTCACCCATAACTCTATATAAATAAGCAGTAGGACGATCCAGGCTGTCCATTGCCCATCCTACTTCCACTAACAGGAACAACTTTCCTACATAATTTTGACTGTTGTTATTCACTGTTATCAATTTCTTAAACTCCATAGGTAGTGTACGGTAGGACACATTCTGAAGATTAGGCCTTCCTTCTCAACAGCAATGACAGCTTTCAGGGCATAAAAGCAAGGTATTAGCTTTTTCTCTAATTTCATTTCAAGTGTAGTCCTTTTTTGTTTTAATAGGCTACCTTCCTTTAGTAACATATTCCCTAATTAACTATATCCATAAGCCAAATCTTTCAAGGGGATGCAATTACAATAGGTATATCAATAAGTTTTGAGATCCACTCATTAATAATAATTATCTGAAGGGGAAGAGAGAGAGAGAGAGAGAGAGAGAGAGAGAAAAAAATAATACACATTTATAACTAATTATTATTATGTCTCTTTTCCTTTCACTTCTCAGGAGGTCAAATATTATCACACCTTGACTGATGACTTCGTGTCCCGGTGCGTGGTTTATATTCGGATTGGCTACCCATCGGCTGCCAGTATTCATCGGGTCTAAGAGAGGAAAGATGTTCCTGTCAGTGATGTAAAGAAGAGAGGGTGGCCCCTGTGAAAGGCCCTTCACCTTCTCCCAGTCTTCCAAGCTCCCATTTTCTTCTTACACACCTTATTCGACTCAGAGAGTATCCCTTAACACACTCAAAGTCACAGAGACAAGATAAGGGATATATTACCTGTGAGGAGGAGCATGAGAAGGCCAAGGAGCTAGGGTGTGACTAAGGAACAGGAGGTAAAGGAAGGGGAAGACAGGGAGGGAAAAATAGGGGGGAGGGGGGACAAGGAGATGGGAGATAAGAAGGATATGAGGAAGGCTATATACAAAGCAACACTCCTTTGTACCAGAAAAGATTTTAATGTGAATCAAAAAAGAATGGAAGAAGCAATCAAGGCCATTCCCTCATTCAAAAAGTGCATTCAGATTCATAAATTGGATATGAAAAGTAAAAAAAGATAAATCATTTTTGCCTATCTCCATCACCACCCAACACTTAAAAAAAAAAAAAAAAAAAGGTGAAGCCTAACTATATTCCACTTACGCATAAAACTGGTCGATGAAGAGAATGCTTGCAGAGCTGGGAAGAGTGGAGTCGATTCAGCCCTTTTCGATCCTACCAGCTGCGACAACTGGGGTTTCAGGCGTGCAATTCGCTCCCGGTCATTCAGGATGTTTGCTGGCTTCAGATCCTGAAAGGAAGGAGTAGCATTAGCACTGCCTGATGTGAAAGACCAAAACCTTTATCTATTAATGACTTGTGAATTTGAGCTGTGTATGTAATATGCATCTGTATGTTTACATCTATGCATATATGTCTGTGTATATTTATAAACCTGTATGCATGCATGTACATGAAATCATCTGAGAGACTTACCTCCAAATTAATTTCCAATCTATTACACAGAACTTCAATTTCAAATTTGAGATGGAGCTTCATGTCAGGTTCCTTGTGGAGTTCTGCTAGCACATTCATTATGGCGATTGTCCAAGGGTTAGGAGGTTTAAATACACGACTCTTTGCACACGACTCCATCACCTTGGCTACGAATGGAATCACATATTGCATTTCCTGGAAATAGAGAACACAATAGAGATTCATTACTCCATAGCAAAAGACTTAAAAAACAAAACAAAAAAACAATGGCCTACGACAAAGACAAAATTCTGCACCCCCAGTAAAATGTTGTAAATAATCTTCAATTCTAAACACACCATGCACAATAATAAACCAAACCCACCTGCAAGCCTTTGTTGTAAGACTCAACGAGCAAAGACTTCATATCGATGTCTGAGTGAAGGATAGGCTTATTCTTGGCCAGGGTCAACATGCCCAGCCAATGTCCAAGGTTCTTCAATAGTGACTTGTCAGAAAAGTTGGCCGCAGACTTGTCGGCCCTTAGGAGTACCTACAAGAGGGATTGCCAGCTTAAAGAATGCTTCCAATATTGTCATTAATGAAAATTTATGCACCATCTAGATCTATAAATCTAAAAATTCCCATATCAATAACTCTCTAATTAATGCATTAAATATCAATGATATATCCACTTCTTTCCTAACAAACATAGTTTGCATATGTTAATTTTTACCTTAATATTCCTTAAAGTTTCCCTGCAAACCATTGCATTGAAATTGTTCATCTTTAGCTGATCAAGAAACAAGGAATAAAGAGTGTGGAAATTATTTTCAATGGAGGCTCGCTTCATCACCAAGTACTGGGCGACCCAAATCCAATACTCCTCGCTGACCACTTCACGCAGCTCTTCGCACTGGGGGAAATAAGCCAATACTATGAATCATAGTAATTATCATATGCATCACCAACCAAACCAATATTTCTAAAGCAACAAGAGAGAGAGAGAGAGAAAGAGAGAAAGAGAGAAAGAGAGAGAGAGAAAGAGAGAGAGAGAAAGAGAGAAAGAGAGAGAGAGAGAGAGAGAGAGAGAGAGAGAGAGAGAGAGAGAGAGAGAGAGAGAGAGAGAGAGAGAGAAAGAGAGAGAGAGAGAAAGAGAGAAAGAGAGAAAGAGAGAAAGAGAGAAAGAGAGAGAGAGAAAGAGAGAGAGAGAAAGAGAGGGAGGGAGAGAGAGAGAGAGAGAGAGAGAGAGAGAGAGAGAGAGAGAGAGAGAGAGAGAGAGAGAGAGAGAGAGAGAGAGAGAGAGAGAGAGAGGGAGAGAGAATATATTACTAACTTGAAGAATGTCCTAATGTGCCCTTAAGTACTCACCTTTTGAGGAAGGTTCACTTGAGAAAGATTGTTGAAAATGAAGGCAATTTTATCTTGCATATGCTCAGGTGGAGGAGTAATCTTTTCTTCTTTTTCTGTGGCAACTAACAGTGTTTCAATGTTGGTTGTTGTGATTGTTGGTTGCTGAAAATGAAAGATAAGTGAAGTTAATAAAATATGTAAACATATATTTGCTAAAAAACAATAAATACATATATTAACCCAACCACCCCGTATTTATGTTCTGTCCCTGCATTTTTTTGTGAATGTTGTTACATACAGATTACTCTATCCACCAAGGAGTCTATCAGTAGTCCTATGACCAATCCCGATTTCCCCACTCATTGAGTTGGAGGGAAAATGTCTTTTTCTTTTTAATTCAGTTGATATTGATACTTCTTATTGTTATTGATGTTATGATTATTAAGTTGTTATTAAAATCTCAGTGACATTTAAGACAATTAAATAATGCAGAAGACTTTCTGATACCATCATTGAGGGGTTAATGAACTCTGTAACATGAAATGACCACAATAGGAAAGAATACCAAAATACACATCAATTCAACCTAAACTTTGCATCAGATGATAGAACTGAAAGCTTCTCATCAAATTAATATCTACATTTCCAACCCTAAGCCAAACCAAAACCCAGACTCCGCCATACCTTCCCAGATCCCACTGGTGCAGACGGAACAGACATTGACTGAGGTCTGGTGATGGCGGTGGTAGTTGTCGTGGTGGTGGTGGCAGTGAGGGTCTTGGCAACGGATGACACCACAGCCGACGCTGCAACATTGGGTGGCTGGACAACAGTGCCCGTGACGGCGACTGCTGAGGTGCCTGGGGCTGGGGTGCTTGGCGACACATTCATGGAAGGAGGGAGCACAACACCAGACGGGCGTGAGGGGGGTTCTTGCGACTGTGTTCCGTACTTGATGTACTGTGGTTGCAAGGAAAAGAAAACCAAAAACATTATTAAAATGGATGGAGGGAAAATACAAATCTAGTGAGAAAATACTTAAAGTAGAAAAAGTATCTGAATATCTTCATAGTGCAAATGTATTTGGGATGCTTAAATATATCTCTTACACTGTGAAGATTTTAATTCTCTTTAATTTTTTTTTTTTCTAAATTTATTACAATGAATACAGTAAAAGCTATCCAATCACTTATTTTAAACAGTTTTAAAAACAGCAACATTATAAAAATGAGAAAAAGAGGACAACAATACCTCTATAAGGTGTGGGGGAAATTCATTGAAATGCTGTATAGCCATAAGGTGCTGACAATAGCGAGGGTATTCCTTCAAACGACTGCGAAACCTGTCCAGTGCCACGATGCCGAAGTAGTACATCTTGCTTCCATGTGGTTTCTGGAGAGCTTCCATGACATACCTGAGTGCTACACCTAAGGCCATATATCTGTGAAAAAAAAAGAAAGAAAAAAAAATTATAATGAATAACACCAAAAGTGTTTATAATAACAATGATGATGATGCATTGACTGAAGAAGACAAAACCCAGAATCATTATGGTTATCAGAATAATAAGCCTAAAGAAAAAGACGTACTACCCCAAGTTACCCATCACTTGGGAAAAAAAGGGAACCACTCACTCGACTAGACCCTGTTCAATGATACCACCAAACAGTCTGGCAGTGGTGAAAAGTTCTTTGTCCGGGTAGGTGGGGAAGAAGCGGTACTCTTCGAAGAGATTCCGGAGCATACACGAATAGACTTCCCTTTCCCTCTTGTTGGTCGATTCGTGGAATTTCTTCAGCATGTCCAATACCTTAAAAGGTTGAAGATAAAATCAGTCCATGTCATAATTTACAATAATGAACATAATCAGTTATGAGACATACACAAACAGCATATTAAAATCCTTATCAGATACACTCCTAAAAACATTTGCACAATTAAGATCCCTTCCAGCTAATTCTCAATGAAACTAACCTCCTCAATGGAGAGTGTAGGATGGGGTGGATGATTGTAGATACGCTGGAAGTAACTATTGGCTTCATCTTCAACCTCTTTGCTCACCATTTGAGGCATGTCAAAGATTTGGGACATATCCACTGCAAAAGAATGCAATAAAATACAATAATCAATGCTAGAAAAAAAATTTAAAATTTAAAAAATATTAAAAAATAGTAATAATAATAATAAAAATAATAATAAATACAATTCTTAACCTGACAAAAAAAGATTAAAGACCAATATATATTCATGGTATCAATCAAAGAACTAAAAGAGTAGTCGCGGGAGACGCACTTTGCCTGCTGGGGGCGTTGACGGTGGGCTGCACCGAATGCGACCTCAGAGATGACGGGATGATAGAGGAGGTGGGCAAGGTGGGCAGCTGAGAGCCCACAGCTGCTGCATGTGGGGGGCCCAGCTGTAAAGCAGGCAAGATGGAGGAGAGGGGAGACTGCGATGTCCCGGGGGCAGTAGAAGGCCCAAGGGGACGCCCGGGGGATCCTGGTGCAGTGCCCAGCGACCCCAAGCTACCCAGACTCATGGATGAGGAGGCAGAGGTCGGGAAGATGGAGGACGTGCCACCTGCTCCGCCCAGGTTCAGGCTGCTCAGGCTGGAGGCTATGCCACCTAGGCTGCCTTCACTTGTCTGCTGAGATGGACCAGGGAAGCCAATCTAAACACAGATAAATAAGTGGTTGAAAGTAATAACTATAAAACAGATAATAATTTACAAAATAATTGAAATAAAACTAAAGAATGATTTTTTTTATAATGATGCTATAACAATACAAATGCAATTTCAAAACCAGTGGCATATTACTTTAAGGTATTAACGAGCTTACCACTCCTTGCTGTGTTCGAGGTCTGTTCATCAGGTTGCAGTGTTGAACCATTGTCACAATGGTGTCTGACAATTCTTGAGACACATTTCTGGAAAGGAATACAAGATGCTATATTTTTTGTTTAGAAGCATTCATATCAGGCATCCAAGGAGTTTGCAACAAATCAAATATAATCTATAATATAAATCACGGATAATGATCTTCTAAAACACAATCAATTCCCTCTTAAACTAGACATTTTGGAAAACGCTCACCACCCAAAATACTTTTAAAAATGAAGAAAAAACAAACAGCATACCATAAAACAATATAACTGAAGTACTCACAAAGCACAAGCATTAAGACACACAAGAATGGTGGCCATGGTTTCAGGAGGAAGCTGCGAAGATTTCTGCATCCCGTCCTCCTTGCCACCCACCAGATGAGGACAACGGCGCTGCAGGAACTTGACGCATGCCGAGATGAATGCCTCTCCATGCTCGCGGATCTTGTCTGTCAGCCACTTATCCAGCTTCAAAAACTCTCCTGCAGAATAATGTCCATCCATAATGAAAGTTAAAAAACACTACCCATTGATAAAATGGCAGAAAATACAATATAACTCAACTAAGTTTATAAGAAGATAAGACAACTGACCTCACACAGAAGTGGGATAGAGAGAGAAGAGAAGAGGAGAGGAAATTTTTTGCACATCTCTCTCAAATTCCCTTTTTGAAGAGGAATTGGCATGAAGGAAACAAAGTTGGAAAAAAGAAAAAAAGAGTGAAGTAGGATGAAAAGAAGGAGGCAGTGCTAGAACAACTTGCAGATTAAAAAGAGACTACAGCAAAAAGAAAAATGTTACTTACGTCTGTAGGCCAAACAAGCCAAATCTATCACAAATGGAAAAGGCTGAGCATTGAGGAGTAGCGAGAGGGCTTTCAGATCTTGGGCGACGTCAAGAATTCGGCTTAGTCTTGTCTGGTCATTCTCCACCATCATATACCACTCTGCCATGGCATGCATGATAATCTGGCGGACTGTAGTTGTATTGTTCTGTCACAAAAGAAAGATGGGTGGATGACGCAAATGATATCGTAAGGGAGCTCTAGATATATAAACCAGTTTTGAAAATAACGTCAACCTGAATATGTAGTTCTTAGAGGCTATATCAACTTACAAACACAATTATGTTAATGTCTGTTTCTAGGAAGAAGAACATGTGTGGCTTTAGTTCTTCAACAACATCCTAGACTGCTAAAAACCATGGTCATTCTATACCAGCCATAAACATACCTGTGTGTGCCAGGCATGATGAAGGATTATTGCTGCATTTGGGTGGTTCCCCAAAAATATTGGAATGAGAGAAGCAATCAGATCTTGCCGCAGAATAGTGTAGGGTAAAGTTGCCTGCAAAGTGGGAATACACACTTAAACACCAGATAATATGTGCAATACTCAATAATTCATCTTTTTGAGGAAATCACAAAATACACGTTCAACGTATTTCAGAATTCCACATCACATTCCACATCAAGTTCCCAAAATTCAAAATACAAAAGTAATGAAATACAAAAGGAGAAACACTCACCTGTATTAAACCAAGAACAAGGATATCTGGACAGTGCTGGATGGGAAACTTGAAGAGCTCCTTCACAGCCGTGTAGTGATTCTCCCCGAGGCAAAGGAGAGTATCTAGTAGTTGTACTGACTTCCATGTGGCCACCTGTAAGAGCTGCTTATTTAGTAATATTGCAAAGTGAAATATTTATTGCAGAAAAAGGAAAGAAAAAGAAAACATGTCATGTCACTGTAAAAATAAAAAAACACAAAACAAAAATAAATCATATTTATTGAAAAGCATGAAATCCATTACCTCTTTATTATCAAGCTCTGGCAATGTCTTCAAGCTATCAGTGGACACTAAATGGCAAGGAAAATCGGTGAAACAAAATATCTCCGGATTTCTGAGGATCTGCGTGACAAGACTAAGCTGTTCCTCGGTGTTCTTCCACTGCTGGTAGAAGCATTCCACAGGAAACAATTCAACCCGCAAGCCCTGGCCCTGGAGAAGGCACCTGTGAAAAGGGGACAGGAAAACTACATTAGAAATTTCAATGCAACACTATCTAACGTAGTTCTGACAAGTATATATATCCATCTATCTATCTAAATATACATATATTATACATATATATACATACACATATATATCATAAAAATCTATTCCTCCTAAAGAGTTGTTAGAAACTAGTCAGACAAAGAACACTAGTCCAGGTCCGCAAAACTCACCGTAGCGCTGTGATAAGCAATTTGAGACCCTGTCTGTCTTTGACTAGGAAGCCCTTGTGGTCCAACTTGTTGAAGACCTCCTTCACGTTGATGCTGGGGACCACCTCCAGGAGCGCCTTGATGAACACCTCCACATTCCAGCAGTGAGGACCCGAGAGGCTCCCTGACCCGCCTAGGGTTACGTCGCTACCCGAGCTGGTCGTTTGGTTATTTGAGCTCTTGTCTTTCGTATCACTCCATAGCGAGTTTGGGGAATTGAGGTTCTGAAGACCAATCTAAAGGATAATTTACTTTTTAGAAATACTGATCTCCCTTAAGTAAATTCTTGTATTGCATAAATCAAATTTGCCAAATCTTCACTGACTTCAGTTTCCTTATTTAATAAAATCTAGCCAATAGTGCAGAACTATTTCTTAAATCACAGATTTTCTCCCTCAAGAGAATCATTTTGGATTTAAATGGCAATACCTCACCAATGACTCTAACGGGGTTTTATTGCTTCCCAATTCTCAAGGCTGTACATGAACAAAAATGTGATCCCTCTCACCTGTTCTGATGGAAGGCCTGTGTGAGTGCGCACCATAACACCAAGGACCTTTGCAACAGCTGCTGGTGTTATGGAGGTCACACAGAAGTTCCCGAGGTTGCTTCTGCATTCTTCCACTGTGCTACAGAAGCTGTAGCCTAACTCACGGACTAAGTCTGCCAGAGACCCGTCCAGCTGCAAATGATGATGTAAAGGAAATAATTAAGTTGCCAACTGTCAAGAGTGAAACACAGAAACAAAGAGAGTGAAGCGTACTTTGCAGCAATTTAATTCAAAGTCACTTTCTTTCCTTATCTACTCACTAGATTTTTGGCCATGTTGGCTGGCTGCTCTTGCGTGATCTTCTCCATTAGTATATCTGTATCTGGATAAAGGAGGGGAGCAAGAACGACAGGCACGCGAGATCGAGGAAACTCCTGCTGGAGTGCCGAGATAAATGCTTGTCTTGACTCCTGAGGTAGAAGAGCTGCTGGGGGGTCTCGCCACAGGTGGACGATGTGGATTAGCAACAAGTGCAGAGATTCAGTGGATAATTCCAAGAGTTCCTTGTCTTCTGAATCTGTAAATATAGACATAGAATGTGGATAAGTGACACATTTATCTAATGCAAAAATACTCTTCAAAAATTTAAAATGTGACCAGACAACACCAATGAGAAATCTTTTATTGTGCACTGATTGGAATATCAGATTATTTATTGAACAATGCCAATCAACAGGTTAACAGAACATAATAATCTTTGCATTGCTTGAGAGAACCAATGCAATAAAAAAATAAATAAATAAATAAATAAATAAATAAAAATATTAAACAAAAAAATAAACAGCAAGAGCAACTTTATGTTGCAGACTACCAATTACGCAAGAAGGCAAATTACGGTCGCCATGCAATATCTCCTCACTCACCTGTATCAACGTATGCCCGAACGAGTTCCGGGAGCTTAGCTTTCAGTACAGTTGTGGCCTGGTTACGTATTTCAAGACTTGTTCCTTGTAGAAGATGTAAACAGAGTTTGATTTCTTGTACCCTGGTAAGCCTGAGTACTTTGCACACACCAGCAACCCACTGGCTTTTTATATACTGCAGGAAAGAAGAATAAAAAAAAGGAAAAAAAAGGGAAAAAAGAAAGAAAAGAAAAGGAAAAAAAAAAAAAAAAAAAAAAAAGAAATGAAGAAAAAAAAAAAAAAAAAAAAAATGTAAACAATAAGACATAATTTCATTTAGTTGCATTTATTAAAATGAAACGACCAACAGTGAAAATACTTAATACCTACAGTAAATCAGATACAGTGGTAATTTCCTTCTATCATATTCATATGTACATATATGTCAACCTATAAGAGAACATTTTATAAAATGCAAGTATATTTATCAAACAAGACACACACATACATAAAAGTGTCCATTTACAACCAGCAAGCATCATTATACAGAGTCACGCTCCAAAGAGCTACAATTCAGCCTACCTCCGAGAAATGAAAACTTCCAGGCTTCAATAATATCTATCTTAACATATCACTATCTATCCTTATGTCCTTTTAGATTCTATTAAGTTGGTTCACTGGAATGCTGGCGGTCTTAAGCGCTATACAACTACAGAAGGGAAAAAAATCATAAAATGTATATTTCAAGAAATAAGTGCAAAATACTGAATGCATTATTACATTTCCAGACTATGCTAGTGGTTATGAATACATGAATAATTTGTCATAAATTCAGTTGAAGCAAACAAAAATTCACACACCAATCCCCCGATATTCATAAGATATTTGTGTTGTGATTCAGAAATTACTGTCGAGCCTTATCGTTCCTAACAAAATTCAACATGTTTAAGTAAGTCTCCTATCCCGGTATCTAAACCCCACAATCTTTTCACAAAAAATGGAAAAAAAAGAACACCATCATTAAAAATAATTTGCTATTTCTATGGAACTAATCAAAACTTATATATACTATAATAACATTATAGTAACATCAAAAACTACACAACTACTTCCTAGACACTGCTTCATGTAATGGTTCACTCAGCAATCACTCCAGATCCATTTCAGTGTCACAATCACTAAATTCTTGCACCAACCACAGCTCAAACTCAGCACACCCATTCATAAAACCAACCTCAAATAGATATTATACTCTACAAAATAAATCCAATTCCATCTTACCTGCTACACAATCATCCATGAATCACCTCCCATTTAGCTCAACTCCCATAGTGTCCCAGCACTTTCAATAACATTCTTACTAAAAAAAAATAACCACACACACACACATGTACACATGCACACTCTCACTCACTCTCTCTCTCTCTCTCTCTCTTTCTCTCTCACGGACTCTGAAATACAGCACAACACATCACCTACCAGGCACTAATTCCAAAATCTATGTCACCCTCTGTACACTCATCCATCCGTCCTGTTGCAAGAGATAAACACCAGACCTTTCACCTACCTTGCTTGGGTTGGGGGGGTTTGCAACTGCAAAAGCAAGGCTGGCAATGAAATGTGTTGGGGGAAGTGTGGCAGACAAATGCTGCACAAGGAGCGCACAGCCTGCACTGCCCGCTGCCGACCACGAGAGGGTGGCTCCGCTTGAGCTGGGGGCGCTCTCCTTCTCCTGTTTTGGGCGAGAGCAGAGGGGAGTCATCACCACACTCACGGGAAGGAATGCCAGGTCTATATAATCTTCATATATAAGAGGAATACTAAAAATAAATGAATTAATAAAATAATCAAATAAACAACGACAACAAATTATTTTCTCTGATCGTTTACCTATGTTACACTAACTATATCATTAAAACAGATACTGACAAGCCATGACCATAAAAAAGATATATATATATTACTGATATCTCCAAGATACAACTTAGAAGAGAACAAAAGGAAAAAAAAAAAAAAAGAGAGAAAGAAAATAAAAAAAATATATAAAACTGTATAAAAAAAAGGGATAAATGAAAAACTGCCTAAAAGCCAAATTACAGCTTGAATAAGCCTTACTGTTTATGTAGCAGTTTATGAATCAGTTGACAAATTTGTTTATAGGATTGGTTGTTACTTTGTTATTGTTGTTGTTGTTGTTGTTGTTGTTGTTGTTGTTAGGTGAAGGCCGGTGAGATTCTCCGCCTGACGGCCCAGACCACTCCAAGTGACCAATCAACACCCGGTACAAGTGTCGCTCTGCCTCTCCACCGAACTGACACACCAC